GGATAAATAATCACTTATTATTTATTTTTTACCTTTTATAGCACTGATGATTGAAGGAGTGCCATATACATACAAGACAAATATTCTATCATTGAGCTATGTCACCAGCCCTCATAATCGTATTTTAACTAATAAAAGGAAATTTACTATGATGGATATTGTTGAGGTTTTTTTAAATATGAATAAAAGAAACAGAATGGAAGATTTTTCACATGAGAGTTAATTAAAAAGAGAAAAACTTAATTCTTTTTTTCTTTCTTTCTTTGCAAAGACAAATGAACACATGCCAGCCACAGAGAATAATTTTGCTCAGTCAATTTCTTTTTAACCAATAGTATATATAAACTAAGAAAGACACTGTTTATGTCTTCAAGGAGTTCTTCATCTAATGAAAGTAAGATAATTGTTATCGTAGCATATAACTGCCCCAGAAAGTATGTGAAACGCTATGCACACAATGAGGAACTCTACCTCTGCTCACACAACAATGAATTATACCCCAAAAAGGGGGATAAAAGAGAATTATACAAGTAACTAGTCTAATCTTTTACAGAAAAAAGGTAAGCAATGAATGTGTGGGAAAGTAAAAGACCAACAGCAAGGAATTACACTTAATTTCAACCATAGCAGGAACAACATTACAATAAAGATTCAATAGTGAAAGAAGACAAAAGCACATGCGGGAAATCAAAAAAGCTTCACAAATGAAGTAGCATTTCTCTAAGTCCTTAAAGGATAGGACATAATTTTAATAAGGCAGAGATGAAAGATATATAGGACATATTACACAGAGGTATCATAAGACAAATAGCTAAACTAAGAACTGTTTTACTAATGATAATTTATCCATATGAGTTAGAGTACAGTTAATACATATGGGAGTTCTTGAAGATAAAATCAAAGTTATGCTGGAACAGCATATTAGCTCACTTGAATCCCAAAGGAAGAAGTTAGATTAATGATAATTTATGTGTATGAGTTAAAAGTACAGTTAAGACACATGGGAGTTCTTGAAGATAAAATTGAAGTTATGATGGGACAGCATGTTAGCTCCTTTGAATCCCAAAGGAAGAAGTTAGCAATTCATTTGTAAACAGCAACATGGGCTTAGATTTGCAATGACTAATTCAATGGTGATCAATTCTATATTGATAAACAGATTAAAACAGGATGTCATGACATTATTTATTAAGAGGAATTTGCATTTAATGTTTCTTTTAAGGAACAACAGAATTAGGTACAAATTAGGAATGAGGAAAACCAAGGAAAACCCCAACAACATAAGATTTTGTTCAAAAGTAAAGATAACACTTCAAACAGGACATGTGATGGGAAAATGAGAATGAGGTAGAAGTACATGTGACAAATGTCATGAGCTACTGAATTTTAAAATACAGAAGCTGGTAACGTATGAGCAAAATGTCCTAAGAGGGCACACCATCATCTAAACAGAGTATATAGCAATTATGGAGGCATAAATCATCCTTCTGTGTTCTAAGTACATTTAGAGTATTTTAGTAATTTTATGTTTGGTCAAGATAATCCTTAAAGATCATCCTGTAAAATAATCTCTTCTATGTTGTTGGGTGGTTTTGCTCTTTCTGGGGGCCTCACCACCCAGCTCCCAAATAAATCACACATAGAGGCATATTATTGCTTATGAATGCCTGGCCTTAGCTTGCTTAGTTTCTAGCCAGCTTTCCTTAATTTATTCTGTCTACCTTTTCCTCTGGGCTTTTCCCATTCTCTAACTTCCATAAATCTTATTCTTACTCTGTGGCTCACTGTGTAGCTGGGTTGCTGGCCCCTGATGTCCTTCTCCTTCTCTGGCTCCTAGAGCTTAGATCTCCAATCCCTCTTCTCAGATTTCCCTTTCTATTTATACTCTGCCTGCCAGCCCCACTTACCCTTTCTTCTGCCTTGCTATTGGCCAGTCTTTTATTAGATCATTAGGTGTTTTATACAGGCACAGTAACACAGAGTTAAACAAATGCAACATAAGCAAAAATAACACACCTTAAAATAATATTCCACTACACTTCTCTAGTCTACTTAATGTTTTCTGACTTCTAAGTAGCAAAACTTAAACCCATTACTGACTTATAATAAGTTGCTTAAGGAGAATGTTGAGCTGAACAGTAAAGCTACTGAAAAGTCCTATAGAGAACAGCAACACGCCTTAGAGGGCAATATGAGAATGGGGTATGTTTTATATAGAGTAACTGCCAATAGCAGACATTCATGCGATCTGGAGAAAAGAAATTAATTAAGTACTATTTACATGGCAGGCTCTTAAAATCACAGAATGTGTGGGCTAGCCATCTGACATGGACTACATTTACATCACTGCTTATCTCTGCAGAAAAATGTTAATTTACTAGAAATGATTTCCATATTCTTCTCGAAATAATAGCTGAAGGTGAAGAACAAAGGTGTGTTGTATAATCTGTAAATTCTAAACACAGAAAACTATTTTTACCTCATATTATATATAACTTTTGTTCAAAATCCCATTGCAAATTGCCTTTCCAAATAAGAAAACATTGAGTATGTGTGAGTTAAGCATTACTTGATTACTTGATGATCCTCAAGAATTACAAGCAAACTCATAGCTGCCATTTTGAATTGCAGTCTTGGTTTATAAAAACAAAAAGTGTTAGCCCACTACTCAATAAACAGCAACTTTTATTTCACAAATATACTTGAAAATATTTTAACAGTTGATACAATAAAAATAGCAATAAGTGAATTCCTTTAGTATAAAAATAAAAAAATAAAAAATACATTTCATTTTAATTTCACAACATTCCAACTGTCTTTGGTGTCATGTAAAAGCAAAAAAGATTAAATAACACATAAAATTACTATAGATTTTTACCAAGTAACAGTAAAGTGTTAATTATGTGTTTTATTACTGTGTGCACAGTAATAAAAAACAAACACATATAGAATAACACTCTAGAAAATACATTAAAAATGTTTCTGATACCTTTTTTGTTTTTGTAAATTATGATTCGTTTTTTACTGGTTGTCTGTATTCTAAAGGGAAAGAAAGGGCCTGGAATTGGGTGGGTTGAGAGGTGAGGGTATCTGGAAGGAGTTAGGGGAGGGGAACCATGATCAGAATATATTGTATTAAAAAATTTTCCAATAAAAAATAAAAATAAATGTTTCTGACAAGTCGTAACAACAGGAAACATTAACTATGTTATTGCTATTACCTATGTTCCCTAGAGCAATGCATATCAACCAAAACCACCTAGAAAAACTTGCAAAGATGCAAGATCTTGGGCCCTACCTATAGTACATTTGAAGTGGGTCCCAAGCATTTCAAATTCCTAACAACTCTTCATGGTATCAAACAGCAGTTGGTCACACTGGACTCCACTGCTCTGGACACAGGCCAATAGCTATGACTGAAATTTGGCCTATTTTTATGAATCAAATTTTAATGGATCCTAAATACATTCATACATTTATATGTGCCTGCTATTTTTGTCATAAAATAAGAGAGATAATTGTGATAGGTACAATCTAGCCTACAAAGACTTAATTATTTACTATCTAGATATGGCCCTTTACAGAAAAAATATTTATTAATCTTTACTTACAAAATTCCATGCTTCTTTCTATTTTCTAGTTGAATTTTTTTAAAAAAGTAATTTATTGCTATCAAATGTGAAGGGACACAGACTACTCAAGTACATCTAAGCTAATAAACTGTTTCCCATTACCTTTTTCCTCTTACTGGGTTGCCTCATCTAGCCTTGGTGAGGCTTTGTGCCTAGACTTAGTGAATCCTGTTATGCCATATTAGGTTGCTATCCCTGGGAGGCCTGCTCTTTTCTGAAGGGAAACAGAGTAACTTTGGATCTTGGGGAGAAAGTAGGTGGAGGGGAAACTGAGAAGAGTAGAGAAAGGGGAAACTGCGGTCAGGATGTATTTTGTATGAGAAAAGAATAAGGAAAGGAAAAAAGAAAGAAAATAAATAAAAGGCTAAAAAATATTTCCCATCATCATGAGTGTTTCTTTGACTAACAAAGGCTTTTCATTTCCATCATATAATTCTGATGAATGCCTGATGCATACCATGATGAGGAGTAACAATGTTATTCACTAGGCCCTAAATAAAAATATTGAGAACCTAAAGTGTGAGATATATGATGCAAAATATCTACATGATAGAACAAAAGTATACTGGTTAATAAGTCTATATTAATCAAATTTCCTATTTTTTGAGGAATTATAAACAATATAGCAACCTGAGAGCTATGGCTGATAATCAAGAACAGGTGGCACGAGGATAAAGCTGATCACAGTTTCATGAGCTTATCCAATAATTTTTTGCATCACTATACATTACCCCCTTTTCTCCCAATTCCTGCATCACTAGATAATGGCACCCTGAGAAAGAAGCAGTGGCAACAGGGTACCATAAGACTTATGATGGAGCGTTGTACCTATTAATGTCAATCCTCCTAGATATACTTTATTTAGATAAATTTCTATAGATCTACTAGTAAATTTACTTCAGTCTCTGACATTTCTCATCGTTTTATAAAAGAATTGATTCAAACATATATACCAGTTGTTGGACTCCTGAAGGCATTTGATCTTGGAATCTCTGGCTTATATTTCAGAGAAAAATCAGATCAAGTAATTATATCATTACCAAAAGCTCTTAGGTATATTTATTTGTGTATGTGTACACACAAGGTAAAACTATCAATATCTTAGAGCAAAAATCTGAACTTGTTGAATAGAGTGATTTAATTGTATGAAAGTGATAGTTTAGACATTCCATTGAAGATGAAACTGACAGGCATGATCTTATAATAATGAAGTTAGGTACTCCAATTCATTTTCTATCTCCTGATAAACAAAACTTATGATACATGCATACTTTTCAATAAATAATTTGCTTTTTAAAAATCATTTGCTCATTTTTAAAATATAAAATAGCTAGTAATTTAACCAAAGGAAATGCTGTCAGTCAATACCTGTTGTACGATTGTTGTTAGTTCCAAGCAGAGTTGTATGACGTTATTTCTTGTGACTGAATAGTCTGTCACAGCAGCAAATGGTGACCTACAATGGAAAAACAAAGACTGTGATTATTAAGAACAGCTTTTGAAAATCACCAAAATGAAATCGTATAACAAAATTTTGAATAATAAATGAATTGTTATAAAGCTTACATAGTGATAAAATAATATTTGGGACTCATTTAGATTAAAATGAGTGAAATTAGAAGAATTAAAATTTAGAAATAATTTTATATCTATCAAATTTTTCTTTATAAATTTCTTAAAATTTGTTCTTTGATGCTTTTTTCAAGGCTCCTTTACTATATCTAATACAAAATAGAAAAGGAAAGCTTAATCAAAAGCAGTGTTTTATTTAGTATTTACTTTCCAAAGAAACTTAACACTTTAAATATGACATTTACTTGAAATACCCATAATTAAATGCTAGCAGTATTAATAAACTAGTGGTTACTCTCAGCTAACCATATGTGAATTACTATTCTAATTGTGACATACATACTAACTTAATATACACAGTAACTCTTATGAAACAGCCATTCTTTTAGTATTTTAGTTTTATAAAATAGAACAATGATGGTAGATAAATGTTTAGTGACAATGAGTGAGTCTGGGAGCTAGTGTTCAGACCCAGAAGTCTGAATCCAGAGCCCACAGTCATATGCAGTTAAACACTACCATGAATTTACCTAGAGTTTATCATTACTTCAATCTCATTTATGGACAATATATTCAGGGAATTATTCCATTTCATGTAAGCTGACAATTTTATATATAAAGAACTTTAAAATAAGACAAAATACTTACAATATTTAATTGTAATGGCTAAACCTTACAAATCAAATATATACCAAAAAGTCAAAGTCCTAACATTTACACAGCATCATTCATATGGAAATTGCATACTTAAGAAGTAATTAAATTTTAGTTAATGAAAAGAAAAAAGCATATACATTCCAGTGTACTTTAGAGATTCATAACAATGGTCATGGATACTACTCCTTTCCCTTTTCTAGCACTGAATTATTGTGTTTTGCTATCTGTGTACTTTTGAGGACCTGAAGTGTGGAGAGATGGTTCAGCAGTTAATAAAGCTCACTGCTCTTCCACGGGACCTAGTTCAGTTCCCAGCACCCACATGGTGGCTCACAACTCCAGTTCCAGGAGATCTAATACTTCTAGCCTCTATGGGCACTACATGTGCAGGGTGTACAGACATGCATAAATGCATAACACTCATACACATAAAATAACAATAAAGGTTAAAATAGTTTAGGATATACAAAAAAAGGAGGTATGTGGAATGTTGTAATGAACTGCTGCTATGTAGAAACCATTTTTGTTTGAAAACTAAACATATAATAAACACATATCCACTAACAATATCTAACAGAAGTTATACTGCTTACCAGCAAAACAAATGAATATTTCTCATCTAACACGATTGTAGATAAGATTCTGTTACATTTAAATTGGTAACAATAAATTCTAAATTTTCTATGGGCCAAGGAGCAATACAGATAGATTTTCCTATAACCCAAGGCAGAGGAGGGAACAAAGTCAAGTTCCTTAATATACTATTAGGACTTAGAATTTGTCTTAATATTTTTTCCACAATCACTAAAGATTAAAAGTTGAATCACAGGGAAAGTTAAAATAGAAAACTATCCTGCAACTTTTCTCACATTATGTTCAACCAAATAATTCACAAATATCCTGATTTCCTAATCTACCACATACTTTATCCTATCTAATCTCTTAGCAACATCTGTCCATATTGATAACTTTTTTCCTTCAATTTTTTCTTTTGCTTCCATAACACTACTTTCACATAAACTCCTCTTTATTCTGATTACAAGTCTATATTTGTTTTCTTGAGTTAAACTTCTCATTTTTTTTTTTTTGATTCAGGGTTTCTCCGCATTGTCCTGCCTGTCCAGGGACTCATTCTATAGACCAGGCTGGCCTTGAACTCAGTTCCTGCTTCTGCCTCTGTGTCTCAAGTGCTAGGATTAAAGGAGTATGCCACCATGCCCAGCATGAACTAAACTTTTAATCATTTTTCAATTGTTGATGGTCCACAGGGCTCATTTCTTATCCCACATCTCTCTATTCCCTCAAAAAATATAAAGTATACAGTACAGGCTAGGGCCTTTTCAGATTAACTCTATCAGTGAGCAAAGTATAAGAGAAATCTCTGCTATCTTGAATGACATATTATAGAAAGAACAGTTAATAAGAACAATAGCCCTATTTTATAACTAAGGACATATAGCATGTTAGGAAGGTCTAAGATTTTTGAATAATCAAATAAGACAGTAAAAATATGTTCTAATATTTTCCTTATATCTCCTATTGGATATGGGTTTGCCTATTCTGATTATTCACTGGGTCAACCGAGTCAGGCATGTCTTATTTATTCTAAATGTCCTCATTCTTTGACTCTCCATCTCTTATTTGTCCCTAGGCCTTACTTATCTACCCAAACAACTTGAATATTCTTTCATTCTTATTATTGCCTCACTAGTTAAAATCTCAGAGCAGTGGAGAAGATACACACACACACACACACACACACACACACACACACACATCTCCTAAGATTGTCAAGATCTATCAGGTACTAGCACCATTTACTCATTTGGTTTTGAACTTAACCACTCTAAATCCTAGTTTGCCCACTTGTAAAATAAGGACAATCCTTGTGGATTGTTTTGACTGAATAAGTATGACTAAAGTTATTCATGCCAAAGACTGTCACCACCATGGTTAGCATAGCAATCACTGTCAGTACTAGCAGTTATTAAATCTTGAAAAAGCCTCCAAAGTAGTATTCCTTTTTCTAGCATTGGTCTTCTCCAGTCTTCTGCAACAAGGAATCTTTGAAATGCACAGATCTGAATAAAACAATCACCCTGGACTGCACCCCATTGTCTTTCCCATAAAGTGCAAATGCCAAGAATTTCTTTTTTCTTATTATTTTATTTCTTTTTTTTTTTTTGATTGTCTGGCCTGGAGTGCAGTGTGTAGACCAGGCTGATCTGGAATTCACAGAGATCAACCTGCCTCTTCAGTGCTGGAATTAAGGTCACTTTTTTTTTCTTTTAACTCAAGCTGTTAAAGCAATGTTAATAATCAAGCCAGTCTACTCTTGAATTTTTCTGTGATTAAAAATAAAAAACATTCAATCCTTCTTTCAATTTACAAAAGATTCTATAGAATTTAAAAGTGACCACAATTTACATTTCTGCATTGCTTTTAAGTACTTATTTGATTTTTGTGGTCAAAATATCAAATAGCCTCTATGTGATATAACACAAAATGTACACTAAACTATTTTCTTTAGGCTTTTTGTCACATTTCACTTCCTATGAAATAAGCATAAAACAGCCATTGGATGACTTCATGAATTGCTGTGGGTGTTTGTACATGGAGGTGAACTGAACTGATGCTTATCAAGAGTTGTATTAATGATAAAATGTAATAATACATAACACAACAGAGTCTCAAAAACTATTATATTATAAAAATTAATTTGGAGTGTGCATACTCATGCCTACCATTAGGGAACAAAAGCATTATCTAATCACTCTATGCAATAGTATATTGAAAAGAAAATATAATGGAATTTACTTAAATCATTTTATTTCTGGATAAATGAATGTACAGTTATAGGGCAAATAATAGTGATTGTAAATAGAACTAAAATCAATATGTTATTTAAGCATTAATAATTAAGCAATATCTTATTGACTAGAGGTAATATTTACTATATATGTATATATGGAGGTTATTTCAGCTTAGAGTAACATGCTATCAGGTAGGGAAGTAAGTGGGGAACTCGAGATGAGAACCTGGAGGCAGGAACTGAAGCATAGGCTATGGAGGAATGCTGCTTATACTGACTCAGTCTCCATGGATTGCTCACCATGCTTTCTTTTTTTACAGTGCAATTTAAAATATTTTCTTAGTTTAAAGCTATATGACTATCCCACAGCCAGCATTGTCCTAAATGAAGAAAAATTCACAATCTCACTAAAATCAGGAATGAGATAGGGCTCTCCACTATCCCCAACTCCTTTCCAATATAGTCCTAGAAGCACTAGCTGGAGAAATAATGCAGATGATGGAAATTAACAGGAAATGAAGTCAAATTGTTTCTATTTGCAGATAATATGGTATACATAAGAGATACAAAAATTTCACCAGAAAATGCTAGAAACAATATTTAGCAAAGTGGCAAGGTGTAAAATCAACTTACAAAAATCTGTACCCCTTTTAGATATCAACAACAAACACACTGAGAAAGAGATCATGGGCATGCTCCAAATTTATAATAGCATCAAAATATCTTGGATAAACCAAAAAAAGGAGGTAAAAAGAGGTGAAAGACCTCTACAATGAAAAATTAACAACTCTGAAGAAGTTGGGAAAGATACTCAAAAATTAAAGATATCCATATTCATGAATCAGTAAAATTAATATTGTGTAAATGAACATTCTATAAAAAGCAATTTACAGATTAAATTAAATATTGAAATAGCCACATCATTCTTCACAGAAATAAAAAAAATCATTCTAAAATCCATATGCAACTAGAAATGAAACTGAATCGCCAAAGCAATCCTGAGCAAAAAGAATACTGAAGGGATTGCTATTCTAGACTTCAGATTGGGTCTCCTGGCAATGTCAGCATCTACACCCATAACCTCTCACCAACACGACTCCTTAAACATGATCTCAACAAGGACTAACCAATAGACATGCCAAAGTGAAGAAGAAAAACCCCAGAAGGCTTCAACTCTACACAACTAACCACAGGCAGCTAAGAAACACTAAAAGTGGGAGAACTTTCTTCCCTGGGGAAGAGCACACCAATTTGTTGTTCAATACCAAACTGTCAGTCCTGAAAAACATACATATAACCAACATTACACAGTCAGAGCATGCTCTATTTAGCATTATATATGTATGTATATATACAGATATGCATGTCATAACAGCTAATTAAAAAAGATGTCATGAATTTGAAAGAGAGCAAGGGGAGGGGTGTATGGTAAAGTTTCAAGGGAAGGGAGAAATATTGTTATAATATTATAATCACAAAAATAAAAATATAAAAGTAATAAAATAATATAAAAACATGGTACCAGCAACAAAAGAGACATGTAGACAAGTAGAACAAAATAGAAGGCCCAAACATGAGCATATATAACTTCAGGCACTTCATATTTGACAAAGATGCCAAAAACGTTCTCTGGAGAAGAGTAAGCATCTTCAACACATAGCACTGGAAAAACTGGGTGTCCACATGTAAAAGAATGAAATTAGACCCATATTTATCACCTTGCACAAAAATACAAATGGATCAAAGACCTAAACATGAAACCTGAAACGTGGAAATTGCTACAGGAAAACATAGCAGTGCCCACATGATCCAGGTGTAGGAAAGGACTTTCTGACTAGGACTTCAGTTGCCCAAGAATTAAGGTCAACAATTGACAAGTGGAACTTCATAAAACTCAAAAGCTACTGCACAGCCAAAGAAACAATCAACAGGTTGAAGAGGAAGCCCACAGAATGGGAGAGAATCTTTGTCAGCTCTACAGCTGACAGAAGCTTAATATCCAGAGTACATAAGGAAATAAAAAAAAAAAAACACAGAGTAATTTAAAAAGTGGGCCTTGGCCTTGAACAGTGTTCTCAATAGAAAAAATAAAAATATCTAAGAAATACCTCATGTGTTTACCACCCTCAGCAATTGGAAATTGCAAAGGAAAACAAGTTTGAAATTTCATCTCACCCCAGTCAGAATGCCAAAGATCAACAAAACAATTCACATTACCCACTGTTGATGGAATTACAAACTGGTACAGCCAGACTAGAAGTCAAAAACTAAAAATAATTCCACCACATGACCAGCTATACCACTCCCCGACATGTGCTCAAAGTACTCAATATCCACAGAAACATGCTCAGCAATATTTATAGCCACGATATTTACAGTCTGTATTATTAAAATAAGACCTTGGTACGTTATCCAATGCCAAGTGGTCATCTCTAAACATGTACACATTTGAGCAACATTAAATGGACTCAGCAGGATGCATGTGTGTGTGTGTGTGTGTGTGTGTGCATGCACACATATGCATGTGTGTTTAACGATAATAATTAAAGAAGTCATAAAGTTGAGTGGGGCATGGGAAGAACTAGAGGGAGGAGAGTGTGGAGTAGAAATTATGTAAGTATAGTTCTAACATGAAATTCTCAAAAAATGTTTAAAAATGCAATTACTTTAAACAATTGATCAGTGTAATTTACATATACTATGTTGAAACTACATTTTTATTTACTTTTTAAAAAATCTGGTAGCATATAGTTTAGTGTCCGAATCAGGATTTAATACCATAACTATATATTATGCATTGATATAATTTAGATAATATAAAACTAAGTAAAATTAACTTCTACTTTGAATGCACAAAACCTAGCTGGGCATTGTGGCACTTGGGAAACTGAGGCAGGTGGATCTCTGCACTTCTCAGGCCAGTCTGATCTACATGAGACAGCCAAGACTATATAGTAAGGCCTTGTCTCAAAAAACAAAACCAAAAAAATAAAAGTATATAGCCTTTAGATATAAGGTCTCATTTTTTAAAAAGGCAATTTGTATCTTACTGATGTGCTTTCAAGGAAGAACTCTGGCAAGACTGTAATTATCAGAATTTCTTATGAGATTACAACACAGGGTAATACCATGATCTATGAAAACAGAAAGCTCATTTAGTCTATTTTTAATTGTAATCCAAGTTCATGGCAATATCAAACCTAATATAAAAGTTTAATCTTTCCCATTTCATATTATAAATTTTATGCTCTGCTATCTATTCCAAGAGAAGTGTACAAACCAGGGCAACTAGACAAGGAGCACATGCTAATAAAGTCACAGTATCTACTTACTCATTGCTCTCTCAATATGATCATTAGCAAAAGGAATGAAGAAACCCAGGAGACAAACATTTTGTTATGATAGGCAAACAGTTTTGTTTAGAAAACAGCAAAGGGATTTTGTGCTTATCTATCTTGATATAAAATTTTACAAAAGATGCATATCTACATGCTAATGACCCAAAACTCTTATGAATCATAACCAGATATTTATTATTTTTACTTCTCTGTCTAATATTTTCATAGGAGATATGAAACAATGCTAAGGTAAAAACTAGTGTATGAAGAGGAGTTACTTATGAAACATGGGGAAGAGTGTACCTGTCCAACCAAGCAAGGAGACTCTTGGCTGCTCCAATCAGATCCACAACTGAGGTCAGAAAGTCATTCGGCAGTTTTCTGCTGGTCCTCCCATCATAATGGCCACTCCTTCTCCTTCCTGTTATGAAGTTCTGTAGATTTTTGGCAGATGCATTCAACTTGTGGGAAAGGGTTTTTAGATTTTCTGTTTCTAAGCCATAATTCTGAATAATAAAACAGAGAAAAATACATTTACTGCCAATATTTCCTTTATGTATTAAGAAGAATTTACTGGGTATTTTACTATGTAATAGCAGTGGGACAATGTTAGAATTACAAATGAGTAAGACACATTCCTGGCTTAGTGGAACCCATAGTCAAATGCATGTTTGGGGATATCAAAGAAAACAATTATAATAAAAATGTGCTAGCTAGTTTTTTTTTTATATAATTTGATTTAATATTACATATCAGCCATGGATTCCCCGCCATTCCCCCCTGGCCACCCCCCATTCCCTTCTCATCTAGAGCAAGGACTCCCCTGGGGATTCAGCTCAACCTGGTAGATTCAGTCCAGGCAGGTCCAGTCCCCTTCTCCCAGGCTGAGGCCAAGTGTCCCTGCATAGGCCCCAGGTTCCAAACCGCCAGTTAATGCACTAAGGACAGGTCCTGGTCCCACTGCCTGGATGCCTCCCAAACAGTTCAAGCTCATCAACTGTCTCACTTATCCAGAGGGCCTGATCCAGTTGGAGGCTCCTCAGCTATTGGTTCATAGTTCATGTGTTTCCACTAGTTTGGCTATTTGTCCTTGTGTTTTTTCCAATCTTGGTCTCAACAATTCTCACTCATACAATCCGTCCTCTTTCTCGCCGATTGGACTCCTGGAGCTTGACCTGGGGCCTGGCCGTGAATCTCTGCATCCAGTTCCCTCAGTCATTGGATGGGGTTTCTAGCACGACAGTTAGGGTGTTTGGCCATCCTATCACCAGAGTAGGTCAGTTCGGGCTTTCTCTCAACCATTGCCAGCAGTCTATTGTGGAGGTATCTTTATGGATTTCTGGGGACCTCTCTAGCACTTTGCTTCTTAAGTGCTAGCTAGTTTTTATCTCAAATTGAAACAAGCTAGTCATCTGAGAGCAGGGAACTTCAATTGAGAAAATACCTCCATAAGATCTGGCTGTCCACATGAAAGCCTGTAGGGCATTTTATTGATTAGTGATTGTTGTGGGAAGGCCCAGTCCATTGTGAGTGGAGCCACCCCTGAAACAGTGGTCCTGGGTGCCAATAAGAAAGTAGGCTGAAACCAAGTGGTGGTATACACTTTTAATCCCAGCACTCAAGTTCAAGGACAACCTGGTATACAGAGCAAATTCCAGGACAGCCAGGGCTACACAGAGAAACCCTGTCTTGAAATAGGCCCCCGCCCCCAAAAAAGACAAAGAAAGACAGACAGACAGACAAACCTAAAGAAAGTAGGCTGAGTAGGCAGCCATGAAGAACAAGCCTGTAAGCAGGACTCCTTAATGGCCTCTGCATCTGCTCCTGTTCACAGGTTTCTGCCCTGACTGCCTCAGTGATGAACTGTGATATGGAAGTATAGCAAAAACAAACAGCAACCCTTTCCTCCCCAAGTCACTTTGGGTCATAGTGTTTCATCACAGCAATACAAATCCTAATCTAGTCAGATATTTTTGAAAGTATTTCTTCAAGAAAACAAAAACCTGTGTATGAGATATACTTAGCCACTTTTTTGTCCTATTTATTACCTACATGTTCATATACTTGGACACTAACATGTGGACCGCGAACCAGTCATGATTTAGAACTAACTCAACATAGACAGTCTAGTCTTAATAAATTAGCATTAAATTCATACATCTTCTCTTTTAATTATATACATGTAAAATATTATGTATGACAGAAATGAATTTACACCTTCAACATTTTAGAAAATAAAGTTGACTAAATCCTTATTAGTCATAAATTCTCATCAAACACCTAACTAAAAATTTAATATTAACATGAACTCGCTCTAGCTGGCCGTGAGTCTGTTCCAAGCTCTGGCAAGGGAGGCATCCGCCCACTCGGGGCCTCTCCTGCCCAGTCTGCCCACGCGTGGAGCCCTGCTCTCTGGGAACTCACCTCCCCGCTCGAGGAGAGCCCGCCGCGGGAGGCCCCAGTCTCAGACCTTCCCAGGGGCCGGGGAGTGACGAGCACTCAGCGCGTGGCCCCGCTGATGAACATGAAAAATTTTATAATGTCTATTTCATTTTAATGAATCCTTAATTTGAATGCACTGTGCAGCAGATATTTAGATTTATAATACTTTTCTTTGTAAATATTGGCAAATTCTAAAAGGCTTGCTTTAATGAAAGTTTTTAGAAAGCAGATTATTTTGAATAAGTTAAGCAATTATGGTTCAAAGAAACAAAATCTTAGCAACTCCAGGCATCAATCTTTTTTCATAAAAATAACTATTATATTAAAAGTGTATAAAATGAAATGAAAATCATTATCCTGATAATTATGATGATCAATTTTAATCAATTCACCTATAATTCCCCATAAAAATACATTGTCAGCACACAAACTAAGGGCTATACAATAAACTGTTCACACTTCATGCTTTTACTGTTATAGATAATATTTGTACTTTCATTTAAGAATGATATAGCATCATACCTTGAAAGAGTTAATGAGCCTCTAAATCATAATTATATTACTTTTTTGGAATAACATTGCACATTTAATGAATATATATGATGCTCAATGGTACAAGAATGAAAAATGACTAAAAAAAACCCTGGATTTTTGTTAGCAACTACAATAATTGTTCCCTATAAAGACTGACTTCAAAATAAGAGAGACAGAAATAGCATAGCTTAAAAGAAACAAAGAAATTTGGTAATTTTTCTGTCTTTACACTAGGAACAGAAACTTCAAAAAATATGTAAGAAGGAGAACAGATCATAGTTCTCTCAAAGTTTCATTCAGTAAGATATTAATTTAATGCCCTGTTCATGCTAACCATTGCACAGAAAAATTAAAGAAAAATGATACTAATTAGATAAGACTATCTTGGAAGAGTCGACTGGACAACCACAGAACTAAGTGAAAAATTATATGACAGAATATGTATGTGGTCTATCCTTTTATCATATATCATCATATAATACCAAACAAACCAATATTTTCATTTTCTCTTAATCATTCCATGTTCTTTCATATTTGTATTTAAACATAAAATTCCTTATTCACAGATAACTTCTTTTATAAAAATTGATGTACTATAGTTAATTTTTAATGTTAAAATTTTGTTTTTATTTTACACAAGGTATACGGGTATTTTTCCTGCATGTATTGCTGTGTACCACGTGTGAACAATGCCTGTAGAGGTTAGAAGTAGGTGTCAGATCCTCTGGAATTGGAGGTTGTTAACCTTCTATGGTGCTGGAATCTTACTGTGGAAGAGAAGGCAGTGCTGTTAATACTTATGGCATCTCTCCAGCCCCTAACTAATTTCTTTTTTGCTCAGAAAATATCTTTCAAACCTGCAAGGCCATGCAAATGTCACCTACACTTTCTACAGTGCTCAGCAATATTTCTTGGTGTTGTTTTTAAATCTGTATTGTCTTTATCAACTTTTATCTTCCTTAATGGAATCTTGAGGGTACAGACCATGAATTTTTCATGTTTGCATTCCCACCAGTAGCATGTTTGAACATGAATATATCCTTGTTGAAAGAAAGATATAAATAGAAGTAAAGGAAAAGTAGTAAGGCTAGCCAGCATAAACCAGAGAGATAAGACAGATTTCTATTGCTAACAGTGAATTCTTGGTCTAGTCAGCTCACTGTGTTGATAAGGTAGCTTACTTCCCAAATTTAAATGACAGTGCAAGTACAATAGAATTCTCTGCTCATAAATTTACTTTATAATCACTAGAAAACATCTGTTGGATTCACTGGACAATGTCTGTACTTCTGACTAGCTGATATGTAGCCATTTGGAAAGGATGAAAAGGATGTTCAATATCTGGAGTATGTTACCAGAGAGTAACTACATGAGGAAGTATTCTAATTATGCAACACTAAGATGCTGAAGCTTGAACTGTAGAGATAATAAAGCTTAGCATATGAAAAAATTCAGCACAATTCCATGGCTCAGTTTTAAAAATGGCCTAGATATAAACTCTGATACTGTTTTTATATGTGAGCCAAACTCCAAAAGTCTACATGTCTAGATGAACATGATGCCATCTTTCCTTCATCCAACTGACAGTGCAGGAGTCTGTCAAACAAGAGGAGCCACTGTTTGAATGTCAAGCTCTGAAACACTGAACTATAAACACTGTAAGATGTAGCAAACAAAGACTGCTAGGTTATTAGCCCTCTACAACCTACTTCTACCTCTACAGTAACTTCAGGGCCAGTGAGACATGAATTTGAAGATTAGTGTGCTTAAACACTAGGTCCTTTTCTTACCATTAGTATGGTCTTTTGCTTCAGGCATAACTGCTTCAATCTGATTCAGGTAGATTGTGAGTTCATATTCTGGTCTCAATCAGTCAGTCAATCTCTCTCCCTCCCCGCCCCCCCCCCGTGCACGTGTGTGTGTGTGTGTGTGTGTGTGTGTGTGTGTGTGTATGCATGCATTATTTTATCTATGTGGAATACCATTCTCTTGCATCCTCCACCTACTAATCATACTCATCCTCCATTAGGCTGATTATGTAATATGCACCCATGTAGATCAATAAAAACAGTTATTTTCTTTTTTTCTGTATTCTCACAATATTTATCACATGTTCTATATTTTGGTCATTACAGTATTAGGATTGATTATTTATTTGCCAGTCTCCTCAAATATGTTTTACAAGGGGACAAAAGTCAAGTCTTACAGTTGAAAAATTACTAAGTGTATAAATTGATGCTTCAGTTGAACTGTATTTAATTTATCCATTTGATTTTACTAGTCATCATCTAAATAATAGTTATTGTATAGTGTGTGCTAAACACTGAATTAGGCACTACACAAACACAATTCCTTGATTTTCACACCACTAAAAGGAATTCGTGTGATTAGCTCAGCTTTAAATAAACTATGGCTATGAGTTAAATGATATGCTCATGAGTTCTCAGGATCTAGTTGAGCCAATATTCAAATTCAGGTTATAGCATTATATAGATATCATTTTTTCTATATATATGTAGTTCTCTTGTCTTAAAAATAACTGAAAGAATTTAAACCATTCAGGTTAGTTTTACCTGACTTTATCTGGAGGAAATCTATAACTATATCTAATATCAGAATATCTAATGTATTATCACAAGCTTAGAAAAAGTTTATTTTGACATTCATTTCTCTTGACTTTCTTATGCATTTTCATTAACTGAAGAAAACTATCATATAATGTATGATATTTTATTTTTACTGCTTATGTGTGGAAATAACATCTAAATAAATTGTTTTAAAGCTTTTTAAACAAGATAACTTAATATTTAGAAGAACTGGATTTTACAATTGATTATACATAATTGTATATATAAAGCACCACTGCTAAAATTCCCCTTAGCTAAGCTCCAACTTGTTTTTCACATGGTGAAATATACTAATACTAGTTGAGTTTTAAGCTTCTTTGTCATTTAGCACTAATGAATTAAATTTACAAAAGTATACAAATAATACATTTAAGTATATAAATACTATATTTAAAAATGAGAATTTTTACATACATGTATCTAGGTTATAATAAAAGAGAGAGAGCAAAAAGTCAAAAAAGTAGATAGTGGAAGACAGACATCAAGTTTTCTTTCCAACCAGTTTCAGTCCTTACCAGTGCACACAGAAGGTCAACTGCCTCCAAGATCAGCTCCTGATGGCCAATACGGCTGACGCCCAGATCTTCTAGTTCCTGATGTGTGATGCGTAGCAGCTGATCTCCACTGATCTTCTCCCTCTCAAAGTTCTTAATATACTGCTGCAAACAGTCATCAAGACCTACAAAATAAAATAATAAAGAACAAAATAGAAAAATATTGTTGAAACAAACTGATGGGCAGATGGAAAGCAAACAATAACTCCTACCATGCCAAAACTTAAATCCATTTTGACATTGGACTAGTCAAATATTCCACCTCTTCTCAATATATATGTGAGCTGTAGCAAAAAATTTTATTCTTCATTATTAGATTCCTATTTCTATTCAAACTTTGTCAGGTAATCACTAAAAACCTCACCTCTCTTCTACATTCTAATTTCAGACAAATATGCAGAATAATGAATATAAACAGGTTCCCCTACTTTTAGATTTACACGTACCATACTACTTCTTTTTCTTTAACATAATTTCATAGGGAGGGGCCTTATTCTTTCTACGTAGCCTAATGAATCTGTCTTCCTTAACTCTGAACTCCTGTCTTCTATCACCATAGCACTACTTCATTTTAAAACTAAATACTTTGTTTCAATAAATTTCTATTCTTTGATGCCTTTTGTATTTAACACTCTGCTATCTTAAAGATAAATTTTAAAAAAACCCTGATTTCCTTCATGCTGTATTCTGTCACCCTTTATAGACCTAAGCACTCTTTCTTTTCTTTTTTTTAAAGCTGCAATGAATTCCCTAATCCATTATCATTTGAATTTAATTCAAGTTCATAGTATATAATCACATTAGAATTTATGCTCTTAAAATAATTCTTTCAAGATTCCCCATGACAATTAATAAGTGATTGTTCAGCCTATAGTTAATGTTCAATAGTTTACAAAAGTAGACTGGCACAAATGGCAAATTGGAATAATATGACTAGGCCTCTAAAATTTTAGGTAAGGATTATCAACAAAATTAAATAACTAACACAAAATAAGTGGTATTGATTATACCAAAAAGGGAGATAAGATTCTACAATGTGCTACATCGTTGCAAAAATTATGAGGGAATAGAAATCATAAGCAAGTAGAGGAGGGGGAAAGATATGGTTAAAACATATATACCAAATGAACAAAGACTTGCAAGAGAGAAAAACAGTCCTAAAAGCAGTCTGGTTCCTGACAACATATAATTGTCTTCATGTTGCTGTATTAAGTGAAATAATTTTGGCCCTCACCAATACTCACATAGCAGTGGAGAATCAATGAAAAAATAGTATTGTGGAAGAACACAAACTAAAGTTTTCTAAAGAAAGTTTGAGAATATAATAAAGTGGCATAGCCATATTTGAATAGAATGGCAGAAATCATAAAGCCAGCACAGCTGCTTGACAAAGATCCAGCAAAGCTGAGCCACATGATGGCTGCCATGTCACCTTTGGTTTTCATATCCACCTGTTACATAATTGGGGCACTTTTAATATTGGTACAATTTGAGGATATTGGATTGATGGACAGTTTCTTATGAATCATTTATGCCTTCTCCCAGCAATGCTGCATCTAAGCTTCTCCAGGACAGTCCTGAACATACTATTCCCCACCACAGTTTGAGAGAGATATCCTTATCTACTTGCAGGTCTCCCTTATGCCTTGGAGGTTGTGACATAAAGAAGCCAGAGGTCTCTTTATGAGGCTATAAGACATTCTTGAAACATCTGTCCCTGTACTTACACAGGAACAAGATAATTCAAAACAAAGTAAATTTAAAAAGATCAACAAGAGCCAGGCAGCAGTGGTGCACACCTTTAATGCTAGCACTTGGGAGGCAAAGCCAGGCAGATCTCTTGAGTTTGAGGCCAGCCTAGTCTACAGAACAAGGTCCATGACAGGTACCAAAACCATACGGAGAAACCCTGTCTTGAGAAAAAAAAAAGATCAATAAGATTCGGTAGGCTATAGGAGTTGGCCACAGGTCAGAGTATAAGCCTCTTTCCACTGTACACTCAGACAATTATGTGGCATATACCTCTGCCCTACACAAAGACATTTTGATGAGCAAAGTATGGAGTGGAAAGATGATAAAAGTATGAGATGTCATGGGACTTTCCTTTCTTAGAAATGTTAGCATATGCAGAGCCACTGTGGTGACATATGACCAAGGAACAACAGAATGCTAGGATTAGACATATAAACAAATTCTATAAAGATGTAAAATATAAACACTGTATTTATGCCAGAACTAATAACTGCAGCAGTGTTGGCCTGAGGATTTTTCTTGGTACTCTCATCACAAGTGTTAATAATATACTGTTGGGACATAGCAAAATGCCCAGGGCAGTTGAATATTTTGTTTTGGTCTAGTATCCTTGAAGCAACCAAAGCTACCAGCCTGAGAACAAGCTGTTGTATGCCTCCAGATTCTTAAAAATTGGATTATGGGGTTAATGAGTAAAAATGATAACTCTGTTTATTAATGATGTCAAAACTTGAGGGAAAATGATTGGAAATGATAACTCTGTTCTGTCATAGTTTATTAATGATGACTAAAAGATGATCAAAATGAAGTGAAACACATGTCCAAAACCAAAAATGATATGATCTATGTTTTGGAACATCATGAATGTATCCCTGCTTACTAAATTCTATATAAATAAACAACTCTGGCTGTTAGTCAGTTAAGCTGCAAGATTCTCCTGACCACCATGGCCTGCCTCACTTCCTTCTCCTTCTGATTCCTTATGTCCTCTGCTAAGACCTGTCCCACTGGGGATGACTCCTGTTTGCTTCCTCTCTGTCCATCTCTCCTAAAATGATACTAAGAAGTGTCCTGTGTCTTATTCCTCCATTGCCGCTCTTGCATCCACCCAACTTCAGACCCTGCTCTCATCTGGAGCTTTACTTTGGCAATAAGGGAACATATGTTATTTATGGTTTCTCTTCATGAGTGCTCTTTTCATGGTGATGAAATAAGACAGCACTGAATGAGCAGAGGAGTCTTCAACAGAGACTATAATAAGGGGAGAGAGCAGGAAGAAGATACCTGGAAAATCTGGGCTGTCAGATACTTGAAAATATTTCTATGTAGAAAAGAAACATTTATTTCTGTTGAAACAGAAAATAAATAAGAAGATAGGTACAAATGATGGTAGACTATGACTATAAGAGGAGAGACTCCTACCTAAAAACTGTAAGACTACTGTATAAATGCATATGAACGTGCACTGAAAATTTATAAACAAAACAATCCAGTACACTGGTACTATTATTACAAATGTATGCTAAGGACCTGAAGAGTCTGTACTAAATAAAATGTGACAGTGTCACAAAGTAAAATGGGATTCTTATTTGAAAAGGAAAATGTTCCTGTCAGCAACAAGAGGAAGATGAGGAAACTATGTGTTATGCACAGCCCTGAATGCTGCTGATGGAAGAGTAAATATGACATAGATCTTGGGAAATATATTTCTTTCAAGATTGAGATAGGTATGCAAAATGATTATTACAATTTGATGCAGTAAGGAAAGTAGTGAAGGCCTAAAAATATAAATGGATAGGATGCTCTGGGGAAAGTACATAGGGTCAAAAATATAATGGGTCAGAACACCTAAAGATGGCTACAGAAAACTGCATCTAAGAATGGGAACAAATACAGTTCAGAGAGGAACAGATAACAAGGTAGTTGGGATAGACAAGTAATTAAATGCAATAAAGCATCCCATTCATATAAGAAATGAAACTATCATGAATTTGACAATTAACAGTGATTTTAGTCAAAGGTATATTAAAACAATAAAAACAGAAACCAGATGGTGAGGGGGTTGGGGAGTAACTTAGCAATGAAAAAGGCAAAGAGCTTGCATACAGAATATTCCCTTAGGAAATTATATAGTATTGGTGAGGATGAAGAGTAGATAGGGAGTTGACAAATAAGGGACTATTGTTACATCAGTTTTAAACCTTAACCATGCTCCAATGAGTATATGGGCAACACAAATTGGACTTGGTGTTTTTTAAATTTGGAGTGGGAGGGAAGTGCTAGCATGGGAGGGTGAACCCAGGAGGAATGGGAAGCTGATGTGTGATTTGGGTTCACTGAACAAAATTCCCAAATAATTAATAAAAATATTATGTTGGGGAAAACAAGAAATTAAAACAGCAAGATTAAGTAACTCCCTAAGTATGCATAGTAAGTAACTAACCAGAAAATCAGGACTAAAATCTGGTCCTAGAGGATTTGAAGTTGGATCTGTTCTGACTACATCAGACCACCTAAAATTTTAAAAAAATTTCCAACAATAAAGTGGATGGCATTCTTGCAAAAAAGGCAGCATAATGAATAGATAAAACTATAGTTATTTATGAGACAAAATAACATTAAGTAACAGAATTATACCCTTTTTTCATGAAGGTAAAAACAATGCTAGTTAAAACTACCAAGGACTAAATTCCATGCTGACATACTTCCAGGAAATTAGAAAAATGTACACATATGCTAAAGCTGCATTCAAATGAATAAAAGAGCAAACATTGTCATTAGTCTTTAGACAACCCTGAAATCAATATAATCCATGCTGACTTGGCAAACTCTTCTCTATGTTAGTCAATGCAATTGTTCAGTTATGCTTTTGCATAAACATCGTTGCTCTCTAACAGGTAACATACAATTCATTTTCACATGGATTCTCAAGAAAACCAAATAAAATAGAAAAAGAGGACAACTTTCTTCTAGGCCTGTACTCAATTACTCTGTCCTAATTTATTTCAGGAAAAGACTATGCTTTCAATAGCTTTGTTATTTCCAAAGAAGAAATAGTAATGCTGAGGAACAATACTATTGTCTATATATTTGTATGTGTGTTTACTGTGTACCAAGTACTAATCTAAGTACTTTACAAATATTTCCTCATTTAATTTTTATAACATACCCCTTACTGCTATCTTGCATTTTGTATAACTTGAATATCGCTATCTTGATTTTGTAGTAAGAAATCTGAAAATTTGGGGCTATGCCTAGAATTCTATACCTTTGAAATGGTAAGGTGGAGCTTTAAGGCAAGTTCATTTTCCCTGTTTTTAAATACTTCACTGAAGTGAGAATGGAGGAAAAGTGGAAAGGACTGCTTACAATC